TAGTGCTGTTCATATTCGAATTTACGAAGTATTCGAAGAAATTCGAATATTCGAATAGTAAACGAAGTCTTCGAAGTTGAAAAAAACTTCGAAGTTTTTGTGAATTTTTGTTCTCGAAGTCTTCGAAGTTTAAATGTAGTGAAAAACTTCGAAGACTTCGAAGACTTCGTAAGCAAAAGGTGAAGTGAGAGCGCACAATGCAAACAAACGTGCATCACACAAATTATTTGAGGGATGAAAGCGTTTGCTTTGTTTGTACGGTTTTATGTTTTTTGTTGTTATCCTATGCAGAAAATTAAAAACATGTTTTTTTGTTTTATTTTATTACATAAAATTTATTTTATTATTAAATATGTATTATAATATATATTATTTTTAAATATGTTATTATTAAATATTTTTTATATTAAATAAAAAATTCACATTTTAAATAACTTATATTTATTATATATATTTAAAAAATTATATTTGAGAAAATTTTTAATATAATATAAAATATATACGTAATAATATGAAAATATTGATATTGATGGATTTTATTAGTAATGGAATTTTATAAAAGTTTTCATTTTCCTTTTCAATAAAATCACAAATTAAAATCTTGAAAATTAGTTATGGAAAAATGAGTTTTGCTTATTAATGCCTAATTATTTGACCTGTATGAGCTGTGATGATCACGCAGGCAAGCGCAAATTTATTTTTGCATTATAAAATTTTGAATGTTTTGTTGTAGTTACAGTTATTTTACTGTTTATGGAAAAATTTTAAATCCCTTATTCTAGGAAAAGAAATACATAATATTATAAGGAAGTATCTAAATAAAATGTAAATTAGTGTATAAGCAAAATTGTATAAAAGAAATTCCATCAAATTTTCATGTATTTTATATTATATTAAAAATTTTCATAAATATAATTTTTTAAATATAAATAATAAATATAAGTTATTTAAAATGTGAATTTTTTATTTAATATAAAAAATATTTAATAATAACATATTTAAAAATAATATATATTATAATACATATTTAATAATAAAATAAATTTTATGTAATAAAATAAAACAAAAAAACATGTTTTTAATTTTCTGCATAGAATAACAACAAAAAACATAAAACCGTACAAACAAAGCAAATGCTTTCATCCCTCAAATAATTTGTGTGATGCACGTTTGTTTGCATTTTGCGCTCTCACTTCACCTTTTGCTTACGAAGTCTTCGAAGTCTTCGAAGTTTTTCACTACATTTAAACTTCGAAGACTTCGAGAACAAAAATTCACAAAAACTTCGAAGTTTTTTCCAACTTCGAAGACTTCGTTGAAATGCGAATATTCGAATATTCGAAGAACTTCGAATTTTTAAAAACTTCGAATAATGTGAACAGCACTAATATAAACTAAATAAACCAAAGTAATATTCACTTAGAACTATTCTTTTCCATTCTTGCGACTTCAACCTTTATTCATTTAGAAATATATTTCTTTATATCTTCTATACATATCTACTAACAAACAAATTTTGTATTTTTAGCAATGTCCAGACGCAACCTATAATGTAAATGTAAGTATTCCTTTATGTAAAAAGTAAAATAAACTAAAATAACTAAATTTTTATTTAAAAACTATTTATTCATCTAAATAGTTCATCTTCATTCATCTAAAAATATTTTCCATAAAATATTTCAAATGCAAATATTTCAGAAACAAAATAACTTTCAATATGCTACATCGTTCTACATAATTATTAACAAAAATATCCTGTATTTTGCAGCAATGCCCAGATGCAACTTATAATGTAAATGTAAGTTATTTTATATAGAAATTGAAATTTAATATATTACAATAACTTAATTCTTTCTGTATTAAAATGTATTTCTACCTATATATCGTCCTATATAATTAATAAAAAACATTTTATATTTTGTAGCAATGTCCAGATGCAACTTATGATGTCAATGTGAGTATCCCTTTATATAGAAACTCAAACGAACTAAACGAACCAAATTAATATTCAATTAGAACTTTGCTATTATATTATGTAGACTTAAACCTTTACTCATCTAGAAGTATTTTATATATTATATTGACTTAAATCTTTTTGTACTCAAATATATTTCCATATTCCTACCTTCCTATACAAATACTTATGAAAACATTTTGTATTTTGTAGCCATGTCCAGATGCAACTTATGATGTCAATGTAGGTTTTCTATATCTTTCTAGATAAATACTAAGAAAAACTTTTTGTGTTTTGTAGCAATGTCCAGATGCAACTTATGATGTAAATGTAAGTAATCCCTTATATAGAAACTGAAACTTTTATACCTATATTATAATGACTTAAATCTTTCTGCATTCAAATATATTTCTATATACCTTCCTATACAAATATTCATGAAAACATTTTGTATTTTGTAGCCATGTCCAGATGCAACTTATGATATTAATGTAGGTTTTCTATATATCTTTCTATATAAATACTAAGAAAAACTTTTTGTATTTTGTAGCCATGTCCAGATGCAACTTATGATGTAAATGTAAGTATTCCTTTATATAGAAACCGAAATTTTATATATTACAATAATTTAATTCTTTCGGTATTAGAATGTATTTCTATATATCTTGCTATATAATAACTAACAAAAACATTTTTTATTTTGTAGCCATATGCAGATGCAACTTATGATGTTAATGTAAGTATTCCTCTATATAGAAACTATGGCAGTCAAATAAATATTCAATTGGAACTTTTCTGGTTTATTCTATAGCGTTAAACATTATTTATTTAGAAATATTCAGTAAATCCTGATATTCCTCACATATGACATGACTATAAAATAAATATTTCTAATATAAAATATCTTTCAATATTCCTTACTATATAATTCTAATAAAAATATCTTTAATTTTGTAGCAACAATAAACTATTCTATTTTATTTTAAAAAACTAAATCTAAACTAAAAATATAACTATAAAATAAATATTCAAAGAAATAAAATATCTCTCTCTATATCTTCCTAAATTATATCATTTTACAACATCATTTTATATTTTGCAGCAATGCCCTGACGCAACTTATGATATAAATGTTAGTAGTCTCTTCTGTAGAAGTATACATTAACTAAATGAACCTAAGTAACTTATGACTTTAATCTTTGTTCATTTAGAAATATTTTACACATCGTTATAAATTAATTCTTTAAGCAATAGAATCTTTCTATATATCTTCCTCTATAATTATGTTACTAACAAAAACATATTGTATTTTGTAGTCATGTCCAGACGCAACCTATGATGTAAATGTAAGTATTCCTTTATGCAAAAACTAAAAGAACCAAATTAATATTCAATGAACCATTCTATTTCATTCTAAATGACTTAAATCTTCATTCTTCTAAAAATATTTTACCTATCGTCATATATAAAAATATGAGGATAAAATAAATATTTCAGAAAGAAAATATCTCTCCATAAATCTTCTTTATATAAGTACTAACTAGTAAATTTTGTATTTTATAGCAATACCACGACGCAACCTATAATGTAGATGTAAGTATACCTACATTATAGAAATTATATATAATATAAAATATGTAATGCATAAAATACATAATATATCTAATTACAGTATATAATAAATAATACATAATATAGAATCTAATATATAACATATAATAAATAATAATTACAAAATTTTATATACACATACATACATACATCATATAATATAAAATATATATAATATGGATAAAATAAAATGTATGATATGTTATATATTTTCCGGATATAAGAGCACCGCTTAAGGTTTATGAGAACAAAGTGGGAATCAGCAAAAGAAGACGGCAACCACGAAAACGATGGAAAGACACAGTGCAGCAGAAATTGGAAAACTGTTGTTAAACAGGCTTATGTCCTACTTGGACTGTATAGTCACGAATGATGATGACGACATTTTATAAAATATTCAATATATAGCACAAAATATATATAGTGTATAATATATATATAATAAATAAAATATTGTATACACATAATATTTAGTTCGCAAAGATGATTCTCTGATAGTTAGAAACAACAATCATAAGTTACTTTACTGTGATTGCGTTTAATAAATACTTTTCAGCCTAATAATATATAATATATTTTCTTGATACAAATTTGTATTTAGTATAAATTCTTTAAATTAATTCTTTAAATTATTAGCAAGTACTGCCGAATAAAAATACTAACAATACATTAATTAATGAAACCAGACATTCCGTAAAGCTTATAAGTCCGCATATTTTCTAACTATACTCTATACTTATGGAATTCGAGGCCTAACTTTTAGATATACTCCTTTTGTATAAGGAGTAATTAAAAATCGAGATATTGGATATGTATCACTATTTAAATCATTTTGTTTTATACATTAATATATTTTATTTGCAATATAATATAATTATAATATGTATAATATATTTGTACTTAAAAATATTTTTGTTTATAATATAGACAAGAAATTTCTTTTAAGAGCATTTCCTATATTTGTTAAAAAATTAAAAATAAAGAAAAATTTTTATTTTTGTTATTTATTTTACGAAAATGTTTTGTATATTCCAGGAAGGTTTTGGTGCACCTTGTGCTTATGATGAATACAAGGTAAGTATTTCCTTATACAATTTTAATTAATTTATGTAGACAAACAATTTTAATTAAAATTTTTTGGATATATCATTAAGAATGTTTTGAACTTTTTTAAGCTTTTTAAACATTCAATCAGTTTATTAAATCTCCTTACGATTCAAAAAAACTTATTCCCAATCAATCAAATAATAAATTCTGTCAGTTTATAATGAACAGTGCAGTGTTAAATTTAACACGTTATCGGTCAGATATGGGGATATTTCATTAAAC